GCAATTTGCGACCGAGAGCGGTCCAGCATAGGAAGGAGGAAAGTAGCGGGAAAAGCTAGATGAAGCGGAGTTTCCGCTATTTAGCAGGAAAGTGGCAGCTATGTGTGTGTAAAGATAGTATTAATGTGTGGTTGGTGGGTGCTCTGGTGTGGTCTGCTCCTTCTCTCCTATTCAACATCTATCATCCTTATCTTTCTCTTCCTTCTTTTTATGTTTGTTACTCTCTTGTAACACTAACACCGCTAATCTTCGGCACTTTTATATAAACTTATTTTGTTGCAAGTACTAACTCCTTCGAAAACAAAAGATAGTTTTAGGTATGAACAGGGTGCTTTGGCTGCAAGCGTAAGTGTATGCGTGGTACCAAAGCTCGATCTACTTTCGCTTTCTTTACCACCCAGAAATTTGCCGGTAGCAGTCTGATTAACACAACATAATTTGTAACATACAGGTTGTGCATACAAAAACGCTGTGTCGCCAGGAAAATAAATCATTGTCCTGTGCTTTCACTTGCGGCAAAAAAAGAAAGTTATACAAGCATCTTGTCGGGCTCGACATCATGACAGGTCAGTGAACCTGTACTTTCGCATCACATTGTGAGTACCAGTGATCGTTGGGGTCACCAAAGTTCATTCAACGTTTGCGCTGCGCGAAGTATAGGGCTCCGGAATAGGAGGATTATTGATTTTTTTAAAAGGTACAGTCGGGGGAGGGGTGGGGTTGAAGGCAACATCAGATTACAAAAACTGAACTTGGAAGCAAATTTTAGTATTTAGAATTTTGATTATTACTAGAGCTTCCTGGTACGGAAAAGTGTGCATTGGTGCAAGCCCTGTACGGACTTGGGATCCGTCATACTCATACCTAGTAAGCCGTGTTTTTTAACCACAAGGTCCGCGTTTCATTGGATGGGTGATAGTAAAGGATCCCCTTGTTTCATTGTCCTTTGTTTTAAGAGAGGTATGACCTCATCAAGAACATACGTTTTTAATTCGGTCTCTCTCTCTCACTCGATCACTCTCTCTCTCTCTCTCTTCCTTCCTCTCTCTCCCTCTCCCACTCTCTGTTTTCTGAGTCTCGTTCTCTCTCTCTCGTGATATTATTACATGTTTTGTAAACATCTATATTTTAGCTTTCTGTTCCAGATTCGCAGATTTTCAGTGTCACTTCATTTTGCTCTCCCTTAGAAAAGATGACAGGTGGTAGATTGGGGTCATTTTTTTATTTACTTTCCGCTCACAACACACAAAAAGCGGAGTGAAAAAGGAAAAAGGTCAAGGTCATGAAGGGAGCGAAACAGTTACCTTGCACCTAGCTCAAGCCCCCCCCCCGAAACAAAACACCCGATTACCGTTTGTGACGTCAAGAAGGGAGCGAAGCAGTTACCGTGCGTGCACCTAGCTCAAGCCCCCTTCCGCAACCCCACCCCCCCTCACCCCCCGAAACTAAGTACACGGTTACCGTGTACGTAGATATTGAGGCTACGGGCACGGTTACCGTGTATGCGACATTGAGACTACACGGTGAAAAAGGAAAAATTAATGTCAACGTCAAGAAGGGAGCAAAGCAGTTACCGTGTACCTAGCTGAAGCCCCCCCCCCCCTCCCCCACGAAACTAAATACCTGCTTACTGTGTTCGTAGATAATGAGAGGCGCCCGGTTGCCGGTTGCCGGTTACCGTGCACGTAGATATTGAGGCTACGCGCCCGGTTACCGTGTACGTGACATTGAGACTACACGCCCGGTTGCCAGTTACCGTGTACGTAGATATTGAGTGGCTACGCGCCCGATTACCGTGTACGTAGACACTGAGGCTACCGTACGTGCCCGGTTACCATGTACGTAGACCCTGAGGCTACGTGCCCGGTTACCGTGTACGTAGACCCTGAGGCTACGTGCCCGGTTACCGTGTACGTAGACACTCCGATTGACAAAAGCAAAGAAAAAATGATGTTATAGCACAAAAGTAAGCTAATTTTGTCGTCTAAAAAGATGCTACGGCTATTTAACTTTTCTAATCGAGCTGAACTACGTGGGTCGCCATTTTGTTTTGCCCGGAAGTTCTCGCGCTACTCCTCTCTCTTTCTCTCTCCACTGCCCACAGATTAAATTGCACGCTTTTAGGTTAACAGTAGTAACACAAGAGCGCTGGAACGTTTGTTCACGGCACAGAATTCTAAGGTTCAGGGTGAACACTACACTGCACTGGTTAGCCTGCCCTAGCCTAGGCTATAATAATAATGGTGAACGCACACCGGGTGAAAATAGCCAAAAGGCTCACCTCTGTGCTATTCTCACCCCCCGGGTGAGAATTCTCACCCGGGGTGAGAATAGAGGTGGCCTACAATTACCATGTTATGAGGTGTGTATTAATTTTATGGCCACCTCTATTCTCACCCGGAGTGAGAATAGTGCAGGCGAGTCTTGTGGCTATTCTCACCCGGTGCGCGTTCACCAAATTTTGCGTTCACCCTAAACCACAGAATTCTACACTGTGATAACAGAAAAATTGTAGAATTCTGTGCCGTGAACAAACGTTCCATTACAACTGTAGCCTACTAACAGCGTACAATTTTGTCTGTGGGCAGTGGAGAGAGACTAGAGAGAGAGAAAGAGAGAGAGGAGTAGCGCGAGAATTTCCGGGCAAAACAAAATGGCGACCTGCGTAGTTCGGCTCGATTTGAAAAGTTAAATAGCCGTAGCATCTTTGTAGACAACCAAATTAATTTACTTTTGTGTTTTAACATCATTTTTTAACTTTGTTTTGGTCAATTTGATCGTCCACACCGATAGACAGTATTCAGAAAGAGACAGAGAGAGAGAGAAGAGGGGAGGAGTTGATCTTGCGAGAACTTCCGGGCGGGTGAGAATAGCCACTTTCTAATTTTATATTAATTTATTCAAACTATTGGTCAGCTCTTGATAATCAGCACTTCCTTCCTGGCCACTGAAACTGCCTAAAAGTGGCACTAAAACCTGTCCTAATAATCCTCATCAGGCCTCTGTCTCCAAAAAAAAAAGTCTCAAGTCAAAATAAACTCAATAATTCCACCTTTTGGGAGACCGCTAAAAGTCTTAATCTTACCACGGGAATCAATTTAATCAAAATACACAGGAATCAAGTTGAGGTTTACGTGATCCCTCGGACCACTCGGAGACTCGCCAGCTCGCCTAGACTCGGGATTCTAGTGCTATCATTAGTGCTCGGACTCTCCGACTTGCGTCAAATCAACAACAGATGCATGGAAGGTAAAGAAGATGAGCACATCAGCGGCAGTGTGTCAAACCATGAAAAACTTAAGTAGTTATTGTTCCCAATTGTATAAATAAACTGAACTGAAGTCTTCCAGAAATAATAGTATTTTTCGGGCAGAAATTCAGTGACTTCCTGAGTGCGTGCAGATCTGCACACACGCCATGAAGGCGAAGGACTGGACACTATCCATGAGCAAAGAAATTGAAAATATTTTGCTGAATACTCACTTTGCAAGCTTTATTGCAATAGACAGATGATAACAGACTTCGATCTGCAGCCTCATTAGCAAGGTTCTCCGACGAGACCCGTAGATCTGCAATTAAGGCATTAAAATCCATTACTCCATTCGTTCATCACCGACAGCGGCCATTGTAAACACAACTTTGCAAGATGACAAAAAGCGCCATCTCTGAAACGCGGTTGAAATTAGGGGCAGATAACAGTGACAAAAAGCACTGTGCGAATGTTTGTCGTTGGCTGGGCTTCGCTTTGCTTAGGCCTACTTAAAAAAATGAGCTTGGCTAGAGCTAGACCTTGTTCGGCCTAAATCTCCAGTAGCCCACCTGAGAATAGAAGCAATTTAAACTTTAATACGTGAACCAATCTGCAACATTGTAAGGCAAAAAGTGAATCAAAAGACGTGTATTCGGAGTTAGAATTAGGGACTGATCCATGTGTGAAAAATGTGCCGACGATGGGCTGTTAAAAATGGATGGGTTGTTTTTATTTTACATTATCCCAAGACATACACCAAAATACGAAAGTGGGTTTTTTTTTCATGAAGGCCTTAAATTTTATTTCTTTCTTCTTCCCCTTTCTATGTGTGTTGTGTCTGAAGCTGGGAGAACAGTGCGTGAATGGTTTTCCTGAAAACTTAACATGATGACCCAAAACACCGAAAAGCTACAGTCTAGGCCTATATAATACAGGCAGATTGCTTGCGTGTAAATTGTTATAGGCCTACTTATATCGAGTAATTTGTATCGAGGTTCTCCGAACCAATAGAACTATGTGTCTGTATTAAAGGAGAGGGGGTAGGGTCTACTTTAGAAGTCAAGTAAGCATAAATTGTCCAGCTTTGATCATTCTGACCTGGGCATGACCTAATTTCTCAAAAGAGCAACGCAACAAAAGTTCGACGGACCTGTGTGACTTCTTTTCACTCAAAACATTGTATTTTTTTCTCTTTCTTTAATGCATAACGACCAATACATCGCAAGAGAGATGATAGGGCATTCTGAGTCGTGGCGTCCAACATCATCAGTATTAGTCTTGAAAGATCACACCCCCCCCCCCCCCCCCCTTTCATAAACGCGTAGGCCTACGTTTGTCTTCGGTTACGTGAGGCGTGCGAATAGGGCCCTTGGATTTATACAAGCGTTTGTCCATTGTTGAGCAAGAAGATCTTTCGCCTTCTTGCCAACGTTGCGTTCTGAATGATACTGGGGTGTCTCATTTAAAGTGCTTTTGTCTGGGAGTGTCTTGCGTTGGTTGGTAGGTCTAGGCCTAGTACATGTATAACGGGGTAGATTATCATATTTGAACGAAAACAACTAATACAGCTGTATATTATTATCATATAGCGACTTCTGGTTTAAGATAGGCTATGTAAGAATCGATTTTAATTTTGTTTTTAAAATGTTTTTCGTTTGGTTGGGGTGGCCTATTCATAAAACATGAATAGCCTAGCTAAGACCTAAGACATTATAGATTCACCCTTTAGATGTGTAAAAGATATAGAGAAAAGATCAAGGCTATTCTATATAGGCGCCAGAATTGCTGTAACTGATCGTTGGTCTTTCTGTCAAAGCACCCTGGACACGACATGTGAGTGTGTGTGTGTGTGTGTGTGTGTGTGTGTGTGTGTGTGTGTGTTTCGACGAAAAAATTAAAATATTTATTAGCTGACTTGGCTAGACTCTGGGTACTGCAAGGGGATTCGGATTCGAGCGGGACGGGAGGGGAGGGGGGGGGGGGTAGAACAAACATAAAACATTGAATTTAAACTCGAATTCCGGCGTGTTGGTCAGATTCGAGGACCAGTTACAACAGCAGTTACAAAGTTACAGCATTATAGCATGTATAGATTCTAACCATTCATGCAACGTCAAGTTCGGTATTCTTACAAGAAAGGAACTCGGGTGATATATATATACTAGTGGACTTCTCGATACTATGATCCTGGGCTGCATCAAGTATTCCATACACACACACACACACAGACACACACACACACACACACACACACACACACACACACACACACACACAAATCACTTTTTATTATTTCTAAATTCAATTTTTTTTTTCAATTGTCAATCTATTACAGCAGATCTTCGAACAGATATACAGTGGAAACCATATATAACAGGCCCGGTAATAACAGGGATCCGGTAATAACAGGGGTTTTTTAAATCCCCGTTTTTTCCTACTCTTTGTCTCTATTAAAAGTTATCGGCAATAACAGGGCCTCATCGGAGCCCTACCGGTTATAACAGGAACAAAGGCTCGTTAACAATGTGTAAAAAGTAAGAGAGTGAGTGAGAGAGAGAGACAGAGAGAGAGAGAGAGAGAGAGAGAGAGAGAGAGAGAGAGAGAGAGAGAGAGAGAGAGAGAGAGAGAGAGTAACGTGGTGATGGAGCAAGCCCACGCAAGCCATGCCACTGCGAGCACACGCAGCGCGAAGCGAGAGACCGCTGCGGTGTGCTGCAGACCTCGATCTAGCCAGAAACCTAGCAACACGCACGCGTAATGTGTCACCAACGATGTTAAGCGCAAGAGAAAATGCCTTTCAATTGACAAAAAATACGAAATAACCCAGGCTGTTGACAAAAAGCAAGTTCCACCCGGCAGAGATTTGTCGTCAGTTCGACATTCCACAAGGGTCGATTCACACCATTATCAAGGATAGAGAGAAGATAGTGGCAGCATACTCCAATGGAAAGTTTGCTCAGGATCGAAAGAAGATGAGACTATCCGATGCAGAATCTCTGGACCAAGCTCTTCTGATATGGTTTAAGGAGGCAAGGAGAAAGTTGGTGCCAAAACCCCTGTTCGTGATTACTAGTGGCAAGGGTAACTACCAATGAATAAGTACAGCTGGATTAGTCCACAAATGCTTACTTTCCTTGCATTTCTGATTTAACAGGGATCGGATATAACAGGACATTTTATCTACTCCCAACATCTTTCCACTGTATATATATATATATATATATATATATATATATATATATATATATATATATATATATATATATATATATATATATATATACAGGTGAAATGATAACGCCAATGTCTGTCAGGGTTAATATCAACCGCCCCCGATTAATAAATTTTAAGCGTCGTAACAACCGATCTCCGTAAACGAGCTTTTGTTCATTTGTTGGTGTTGTTGTTGTTGTTGTTGTTGTTGTTTTTCAAATCTTAGCATCCTTTTTTCTAATCTAAAAATCTAGATTAGCTAACAATATACCAACACGATCACACTAGATCAGGTCAGACTCGGGGGAGGGGGGGAGGGGGGGAGCGTCGGTAGACTAGTGGACGTCTCGATATTATGATCCTGGGCTGCATCAAGTATTCCACACACACACACACACACACACACACAAATCACTTTTTATTATTTCTAAATTCAATCTTTTTTTTTTTTTTAATTGTCAATCTATTACAGCAGATCTTCGAACAGCAAAGGCTTCTCTAGCCGCCAGAACACATTGTGATAGGCTATAGAGATCACCCGACAGCGCTGCACTCACAGTGAGTCAATATATATTATGACAATGCATATTCAGCCATTTGGCTTGAGGGAGGGTGCACTAACGACAGTACTAATACTCAACTTTGAATCAAAAGTAGGCTATATAAGAGCCGCTGGTTTAGAGAACCTAGTTCAAGATCATCTGCAGGGCAGGTTAATTCTAGTGCAGGCGGGGCTCTCGTAGTCTTGAGGTACGGTGCTCGCCTCTCATTCAATAGGTATCCCGGGTTAAAAACTTGACAGCGACAGGTTGAATTTTTCTTCTCTGAAATGTTCTCCTTTCACCTGATCCTTTCCTTTCTCTTATAATCATGTTCTCGCATCTGCTTTCAGTTCCACTTTGTGCCCCCCCCCCCCTGCCCTCTAATTCTGGGTTATAATTCTTTCTACTCCCCCTGATCTTATGGTAAGATCCAAGTGACCTGGAGACGCACAGAAGAGTCTAAAATGAAGCCCTGGAACAAGATGGTCCAAAACAGACAGATCTGGTGATCCTTTGTTGCTGCCCTAAACGCCAGATGGCGTAACGGGTAGTAAGTTAAGTTAAGTTATTATAATGGTAAGATATAACACCAAGCCTTCTCGGATAAAGACCCCAAAAAATCCCGGAGGTCCCATGTGCAAATTGTGTACGTTAAAAATCCCTTGATGGTCCTTAAATCGATAAGAGTAGGCTTCGGCCGTCACCCGGGCAAAATTCAAAATTACATGTAATTCCTACCGAACTGAAAATGTTTAACGTTTCCTGCACGCTCATATTGCCCGCCTATGCAGTTGCAAGCGCCGCAACACATAGGCTACCAAAACAATAGCTCTGTTCAAGAGGCTTATTATTGCACTCTATTATTATAGTCGCAGGGCAGAAATTCCAGCAATAATAATTTATTCTCGCATTCAGCGACAATTCCGCGGGCTCCCGCTGACGGCATATAAAAAGACAATGGTTGCAAGATGGTCTACACATTCATTCATTCATTCATTCATTCATTCATTCATTCATTCATTCATTCATTCATATTAGGGAAGTGTGGAAATAATAATGATTTGGCGTCTTCTCCAATTAATATTATCCATGCGAAAAGAATGTCATGGATGGGTGGGGGTGGGATGGTACATGTACGGTATTCCAGGGAACTGGATAAGAAGAATGAGATAATTCACGTGAAGTCTAACTAGACAAAACTACGAATCCAATTCAATCCGTAAAGAAAAGTGATATCTGGGCGTACACACTGATGCATGTATTATAGTGGATTTTTGTTCACATATTTAAATTTTGCAGCAACGCGCATTACCTTGCATTGTTGTAGGGGAAACATTATTTTATGACCCCGTAGGACTTACCTTGAAACAAGGAACTATTTTTTTAAAAGATAAAGAACATCTTGAAGAAGACCTAAAGGTACTATGTTTGTCCTCTCAAAGTTTGCAAACAGAGAGCACCCGACGGAAGGTTTAAAGGCAGACGATAATAATAATATAATGCCTACACTGATTAAGCCTAGGCCTACACCTGTACTGTAATCGCGAAAGGAAAGCATTTCAAAGCAACCAATAAACTTTTGCACTGTTATCAGGAACATATGTTCATACACATACTTGTGTAGACGCAAGTACAACGACATAGAGAGAAGGAGAAGGAATTAGATGATTTATTTCATAGACATTTTAATGTGCTGATTTGAATTTTGCGTAAACCAAAGATTGTAATTGTAATATAGGCTTATGGATTGCTTTCGTTCCTGACAGGATCTTCATGTTTGCAAACTCTAGTCCTTTGAAAGGCCCCCACCAAACTCAGTATTCATATAGCCTACACATGTATTTCAGAACAGGATTTTTTTTTTTTTGGGGGGGGGGGGGGGGGGAGAAATAAGAAAGAAATACTTGACCCCCCCCCCCCTCAAACCCTTTGGATTGGATTATAAATAATTAAAAATTTTCGCTATAAATCGCGAGTAATTTTTTCAACGCCACTGATAAGTTTTGAAATAAACTTTTAGTTAGGAGAGCTCTATCATTTTGGTGTTGTGAGTGACGTCATTGTTGTAATCGTCAAGCCTACAAAATGGCGGCTACCATAGCTAAAATTCCTCTACCAATGCTGAGAGAAAATTTTTCAGCTGCTGTTGGGAAAAGCAGCGTTGTTGTTAAGGCAGTTGCATGCACGATCATACTTGGCTATCTGTTTTCTTTCGCCACGTCTGCTGTTCCTCACATAACGATTACACCAGGCTATGTCATGCCACCGAACTTTCGTGTGTACAGTTTCATTTGTTATTGTTTCGTGGAGCTACATTTCTGGCATGTCTTAGCAGACATTGCCGTCATTTTCTTGTTTGGCAAATTGTTAGAGCCTCTGTGGGGTGCCCCTGATATGCTGCTATTCTTCATTATTGTCAACCTCGGTGTTGGCATCATGACAGCATTTCTGTATCTTTTCATTTACCTGATCACTCTGAACGAGGAGTACTTGTTTGAAGTTCACATTTATGGATTGGCTGGTTACATTGCTGGGTTTTGTGTGGCTGTGAAGCAGGTCATGCCTGACCATTGCCTCGCTACCCTTCCATTTGGCAAATTGAGAAACACTCACATACCTTTAACTCTTCTCACCTTGATCGTTCTACTGAGAATTGCTGGTTTACTTCCTGGACCTTATCCATACATGTTTGGATCTGGAATTATAGTCAGTTGGATATATTTAAGGTTTTATCAAAAACATACCAATGGAAACCGGGGAGATATGGCTGATAACTTTAGTTTTGCAAGGTATGTATATTTCAGAACTGAGGACCATGGTTTAGATTTTAGTTGTAGGCTACCAGATAATGACCAAGCTTTTCTCTGATCTGTACTTTGCAGGTCCTGTGTGTCTGGACCAGTAGTAAATCGTTGGGGCAAGGGACAAAAGTGGATTGTCACAAAAGACCTGAAAATGCCTGTTTATTTCAGTTTTAAATGGATGCATATATATCCTCCTTGATCTATGTGATACGGTGGATCTAGATCAAGCGATTCTCCGCATTAAGCATTCAGTAGGCTAGGCCTAGATTAGATTCTGACTACTTCTACTGCATCTTTGATAATTCATTTTTTTGTCCAGTTTTTGTCTCTCTATATATGCTTAACAACAGTATATCAGTGCATGAATTTATGGCGCTTTTTCGTCAGTTCCTACCCCCCAATCATTATTCGCCATTGTGGCCCCATCATTTTTAGTCCAGCCTGCTTGGAGATCAGCAGGAATATCAACATCCCCTTCTGGGCTGTACCTCGCTAGATCTACGAATCCCCATCATTCCCATGTAAATCTTTTATTTAAGGACTTATTCCTTCAAACTCCTCATCAGTCCAATGCCAGAAAAATGTTGGGTAAATCTGTGTCTAAATCAGCTGAGGAATCCAACATTTTGAAAACTGTAAACAATATAAGAAAATTGCCAATAAAAAACTCCAAACTGATCACCGACTGCCAAATGCGCAGCCAACGGCACTAATAAACTTTGCACTGGTGGACTGTAGTCACGATCAGTGGTCGCGATGCGCACGGAAGGGATGTATGAGTCATCACGTCCGCGCGCAGAGGGTTAAAGAAACAGACTATAAAACCCTAATGAATTTCTGTTTAAATTGATAAAGCCTACATATTTCTAGATCTATTTGATTAATTTGATCTCTAGATACTGTATGTGTGTAATCTGCTGAGACTTTTGATCGATTCACTTTTCTGCACTTGCATTCAGTAGGTTTAGAATCTTGATTCTACTCACTGACAGTGTGCTGAAAAGGTTAAAACAAGGTAAACTATCAAGATTACCGACATAGATTTGCAACTTATAAGCCTTCCAGGTTCAGTGGGGAGAGATGTTTAGGTTATGTCAGCAAATGTAGCAATTAAACTTACCAGGGGATGGTCACCCTATTTGGGCTAGATCTATTATAAGCTCGAAAAGGAGAGTACTTATGAATGGGCTGCATATATAGCCCAAATATAAGGTCACCCTTAAATAAGAAAAACAGTTACAAGGATTGAGAAAATGGCAGAAAGAGGTTGAAAGAAAATGCGCTATGTAATCATTCCCCCCCCCCCCCCCCACCACTAAATCACAAGCACAGGTTTGATTTTGTTTTGTTTTGTTTAGTTGATGAATATTGTATTTGTCAGTTCAGTTCAGTTCCTGCAAGAGTTTTTACAGGGCTCAATATACTAAAATGAAAATGTGTTTTCCTCACAGATGAAATGTTTGAGGATGCCCTTGTAAACAGAATATGATTTGAGAGCAATACTCTACACATCTCTAGCTCTTCTTTTTCTTTGTTTTAGTTTTTTCCCCAGTCAGTTTCAGCCCCTGATTGCTGTGGTCTCCAACTCCATTTTCTCGGGCCTGGTGAAGATTAAGCTGTGCAAGAAACCTCAGAGGAGATATGATGTCAGTTCCCCAACCACTGTCACTGTCACCCTTCCTGGCACAGAACCTCACGATGCAGAGAGAAGGAAGTGAGTGTTTTGAATTAGCTCTGACAGGGATCCACTTATGAACTAATGCTTTGCCACATAAAATCTATAAATATTGAAAGTATAATGCTAATATATGCAAAACTTAATTCAAATGTTACAGGTGTACCACCGGGATGGCCATTTTGAGCAGGTTTTTATCTTTTATGTATTTTGGTTGACAGAATTTTCTTGTTGTAGCCTAATGAGATGGGTGGCAGGAAATTTGGCTGTTGTTAAATATTATCATCATGCTACTTCTCATGAAACCCAACTTGACTCATAAAGGAATGGCTTTCATTTAAAGAAGCATGTTATACTAGCAGCCATAGATGACCTCTACCACAGATTCAACTGCATTTTTTGTATTATATTAGGTCTTGTAAAACAATTGCAGTGTTACCTCAAGGTAGAAGACAAAAGCGAACATTTGGGACTGCTCTGGCAGCATTTATAATTATTCAGGAACATAATCTAATCTTGAACAAGAGTTGAAATTTGTGGTATTTGAAAAAGAAATTGAATATATGATACCCAACATGTGTTACATTCCAACAATTTTGTCAAACTCTCTTTGCTCAACAGGCAACTGGCCTTGAAAGCTCTCAACGAGCGACTCAACAAACCCGACACCTCTCCAAGCTGGCCCACTCTGGATGATGACGACCCAGCGAGCCCCACCTCCCCTCAGACAGCAGCCTCTCCTTTGTCTGTTCCGGCATCAGTTAAATTGCCTGTTCCGGCCTTCAAAGACCCTTCTAAACAGTCTACAGGGGCGGGAAGTGAGAACGTTTAGTGTGTCCTTGAGTGGGTTCTGCAGAAATATATACCAGGCTGTGCTTGAGGGATGAGCAAGACAGAAGTTTGTTGTATATCAGAGCAGAGATAGAGAGAGAGAGAGGGTGAGTGAAAGGGAGAGAGAGAGAGAGAGAATGAGAGAGAGAGAGAGTGAGTGAGTGAGTGAGTGAGAGAAAGAGAGAGGGAGGGGATGATTAGGGTGATATTATTGTGAGTGTCATGAGACCAATTCTTACATTTCTCCAATATTTTACTTCTTGTATTGCTCCAAATTTTTTTCTATCTTTCCTCTTATTTTCTCAAATATTCAGCTTGTTTTTGCTTGCTTTTGTAAGTGTGGTTGAAAAGTTCAATATTCACTAGTGAAAGAGGAATACCATGAATGGGGCATGTGGTTTTGTTTCGACTCCATCACATATGTGCATACAACAGTAAATAGTGCCTAGCTTTTTGGGATATATCAGCAGTTATTCTCTGTACACATGCTATGTTAAGGTAGAGAATCACTTCTTTCAATATATTTATGAAAATGTTATTATCTCTATACTCATGGATTTTATTTTATTCCTTGAAAAATATGTTTCAAGAATATTTTTTTTTCTACACTCTTCCTCTGTTTCTGTACAATGCACTTAGATTTAGTTGCTTCAAGTACTGTTGATTTATATTATTATAGATGATTCAGTAGCCAAGATTTTGTTAAATTTAAAAAGAATTTCTTCCCTTAATGTCACATTCTGGTAAAAATTTAAGGGGATTTACTTTTTCTATATTTCTATCCCCTCAAAGTCTGCATTACTCATTTAAGAATATATTTTGTTTTGTGTTCGTAATTGCAATATATTGACATACTTTATACGTTTCAGTTTGCTTTTTCTGAAATACTAACTTTCTGTCCTTTCACTAGACCCTAATTGAACATTTGAGTTACATGGTTCTGTTGGACAGAATAAATGAATGGTCCGAAGAGTAACTTTCAAAATTTATCTAATCATTTGCTGAATTTAGTGATACCTTTGCAAGTCGTGCTCATAATTGTCAAAATCAGGTGATCGTTTTCTTGAATAGGGAGCCTCAATGCTTTGTTTGAACTTGAATGGTTTTTGTGATGTTCAGAATCATTTTGCATAATGTAGATATCCGCATCATCCCTGTATTTTTGTTAATTACCCTGCGTAGCATTTTAAAAGATGACTATGCATCATTGTATAAATGAAGATCCTTTTCCAAAAAAAAAAATGAAATGTTTCTTGCATTACATGCATTTTTTTGTAAGCTTATCACATGTTTATCAAATTACAAAGTGGGTGCTTAGTTGAAAGAGCTGTTTGTCATTTATTGGCGTCTGCAATTAATGATACTAGTTTGTTTTCATATATATTGTTTACCTTATTTTTTATATTTAAATGTTACATATTTTATTTTATTTAAAGTTTGAAGTGTAGGGAGAAATGTGTTGTGTCAAGAAAAAAAAATGGAGAGTAAAAAAGGAATGCTGCTGTTTTTTTTGGAGACAAGTTGAAGCTAATTGGAAATATGGTTTGATAAGCGTACCCGGGTTGACTGGACAAGAATGTTATCTGAATACATACATTCTTCTTTTGACATAGTCAGGAGAGGTTTCCTGTTTACACCGAAATGTGAGAGGAAAAAGATAAAACGGCAAGTTGTTGTAGATAGGGGCTGCGACTGTGGAGGAGGATTAAATAATGAATGTGATTAGTAGTGCTATAGACTTCAACAGTAGCCCTTGTTCTAATATACCACAAGTGATGAACTAAATGTTAAACTTTCTTGCGATTAAAAATGGTCTAATGGAAAATCTGCTCATCTAATTTAAGAGTTCTTCGTCATTTGGTAGGCCGCTAATGGAAAGTTGAATGTCAGTGTATTTTTTTACAATGATGGATGCCTTTGTGATAATGCTATCCCTCCTTACATTTTTGCTCAGAGTGGTCATCCCATGAAAGACAAGAGTTTATTCTATCCTGTGGAATGATTTCACCTTCAATGGGTTATTTAATTTTGATTTTTGTTGCAAAATTAATTCTGCTTGTGCTGCTCATCTTTTATATTCTGCTTGTGGGACTGAATGGGATAATGGAGTAGAAAAGCTTTTTAGGACACAGTATTCAGATTTAAGATTTGGAAATATTCACTAGGTGTCTTGCGATCACTTTCGCTTTCTGTCTCTTTCTTTGTAACTTTCATTCTGTTTTGCTTGATTGTGTACGACAGGTGGGTAAACAGTTGAATTAACTTGAATGTGTGATAATACAACATTGTTGAGATCTCTCTATTTTTGTGAAAAGCTTGGTATTTATATGATTCATAATGCTGCTAATTTACTCGTTGTGACATTTATCGGAATGTACTGTTCATAATGGTAATGCAAAACTGCAGTGTAAGGAAGGGTCTTGAAATCATGGGTACAACCGCCTTATGCCTCCTCCTGTAAATGTAATTTGATTTCCAAATTGGGAGGGCCTCCTGTATTATATTAGCATTTCATATATATATATATAGATATAATGTATGGATTTCAAACTTTTCGGATTTAAATGTAGGTGCATGGTGTCTCAGTCATTAGTTTCACATCTTGTCCTGCTTTTTGAAAGTCTGTAAGAGGTTCTGCAAGCTCTTATGAAAAGATAACTGATTTTTCTTTTTATGGGTACTTATTTTTATTTGTTAAACAGTTGTGTTTAGAATCATCTGCTCTTCATTTGGTTTAATTTAATCCATGGTTCTTGGGTTATTACACACTTTATACAAGTTTTACTGTTTTAGTTTAAGGTCATTTATCTGTAAGTTACAAACTGCAGGTTCATTTTCAGAGGTGATAGGCCCTTTTTTGTTGGGTACTGGTTAATCATTTTGGCTTATGATTGCATCGCTTTTTGTAGGTTATGGTCTACTGCTTTAGCTGAGATATAATGAGTTATTCCACTTTGCCATTTCGAAGTTTTGTTCCTTCTTCTGTTGGTGGGAAAGTTTTAGGTATTTGACCAGACCCGTTCTTGTCGGTTGAAGTTCAAGTGTTTGTAGGCTCGAATTAATCCTTCTGGCTTTCATGTTACTGAATATGTGACTTGGCTTTGAGTTATTTATATGTTATACTATTAGTCCCATCTGTTTTACTCTTGCAAAAACCCGTCACCCAGTTAACGGCTCCTCCAAGGGACCCCCTCCCCCTACCCCCTTCTCTTCCATTATTATTTTCTTTTGAGACTATCTTGAACAATACCAGGTCTTAAAACCACTGGGAAATGGACTGAAGAAAGTATGGTGAAACGAATGGGAGAAAGGAGATTGTTCCCATGATTGTGTGGTATTGAAATTGAAAAAAGTCAAAAGAGGCAGCATGCTCGCTAATTTGTTTTGAAAGGAGAAGGTGGGTGCACTCACATTTCTGCACAATTTTTTCCTCCCTGATTTAATATGACATTAGTCTTCAACAAGACGAAATGTGTTGTGTTGAGTCATAGTGTCATAGTAAGGTTTATTGTCTTAGAGTCTTGTCAGAGTGGTTAGAGTGGGTGGTTAGCGGGTGCTCTGGTGTGGTTTGCTTCTTCTTTACTATGAAACTTCTATCGTCCTTATCTCCCCTTCTTCTTTTTTATGTATGGTACTCTCTTGTGACACCTCTTAATCTTCTGGCGCTCATATGACCTTATACAGTTGTGAGCGCCGAAAAACCTCTACTAAAACTAAAAAGTGGTTAGAGGATGCAGTAGATGCTCTGGATTCTGTTGACGCAAATGTCCTGTGAGTAGTGTTGCGACTCTTTACACTGCCTCATCAAAGGTGCCTTCGGGTGGCTCATCCGTACTTCCCTTGCTGATTGGTGGACCGAGGGCTTTACTCATATGTGTGACTCGACATGGTTGAATCAGGCGCTCGTCAGTTTTTGGGCATATTGCGTTTTTTAGTATCATTTATAAACCTGTTCATTTGTCTTCCTTTTGGTGAAAAAAATAACCGTCTGTCTTGAATAGAAGTCGAAGTATTTACGATTGAAGGAGGTCAGGGTCATCTGGTTTCAGAGGTAAAATTAATGAGAAAGTGGCTACCAAAGTTTGGTGACTTCCAAAGCTTGAGAGTCTTTGAAAACTGCAAATTTTCATTTTATGTGCCTTTAATCAACGTTTTTCAGTTAAATACACACATCTTAAATGTGTTTTTAAATTGATCTCAAAGGCCTTGAGTTAACAAATTACCAAAGGGGCAGAAAAATGCCTGTTTCTTCGATTTCATTATTTTGACGAGCGCCTGATTTCACCATGATGCCTCACATATATATGTTCTGCCTCCTCCTGGTATGGGAAAGTCGTGTGACTTTTCTGGTACGCGTTAAGTATCATTATTCACTAGCTCCAGGCCTGCATGTACTTTGGATGCTGTTGTGTGGAAGTAAAAACACAGGGAAAGTTCAAAGTGCTCAGACTCCACAGTGATCAGAAGAAGTTGTAGTTCTTATTGCCACCTCTTGTGATAAATAAGTTAATGTGATGTATAAACTGTTGCAAAAATGTGGATTATTTCTTAGGTAAAGTGGTTAAGGTTTTTCAAGTTACTAAATCTTCTAAGAAATAAAAATTACTTACATGGAAAACTTGACAAAATTATTTTGAGATGGAAATCAACTGTTTGGATTGACTTTATATGGGTTTGTTGAGTTTTATTTTTTTCCCATTGACTCAGTCAAGCTGATATGTGGCGTGTCAATGTCTGAATAGTATTTTTTTGAGAGCGGGGCTGGGGATTGGAATAAGCTTTTGCAAGGGTAAGATGGTCTTCTGAAAATTCAAGTTCAAGTCACATTATCGTTCATAAAAAATACACCAGTGTGTGTCTGTGATGTCTTATCTTCTGCACAAGTAAACATGACATGTGAATAACTGTAGTAATAAACACTTGCTGGGCCTTGAATTATGGAAGTCATTAAAGGAATAAATACACATGTATCTTTTTTTTTGTCAAGTTGTTTATGGTTTTTCATGAAAGGAGAGAGAAAAGTGCTTTGGAATTGAAACATTGTTTCTACTTTCCTATTGTAATTTATATAACATAATCGTATGTGGGTGTAAGTTTTCAAGGTGAGGAACTGATGAGATGTATGATATAATGTAAGCAGATTGTAGTTTCATATATACTCCACTACACGTGCATTCTGTGTTATATAAAATCCTTTTTGTGTCTTTCTCATTCTGAGTCGTTTATGGTGACTGTTGAATAGCCTGTGAAGGCACTCTTGAGACATGTGTGCCTGAAGATGTTGTTTCAATGTGTTTTCAATGGAGTTTTAAAAACGAATTTCTCTGTTGTAGCTTGACGGCTTTTCATAGTCCCATTCTTTTGCATGACACTTTTTTTTTGTGAGCATGGAACAGGTTTAGCTGAGCATTATGTTTTTTTCCCTGTAATTTCAGTTCTTCCATTTATTTCACAATTTGATTTCCAATCTTTATCTGTGTGTTAAGATGTTTGAAATAATGTGCATACTGGGTTCCATTGTGCTTTGGCTTCATGAACAGTTGTGAACTGTGTTCCAAGTCAAAACTGATTCCTTTTTGTAGGTGCTGCAGGGTGCTGACTGCTGTGCATGGCTTCGTACTTTGTAGGTTTTCTTTCCTTTTTAAAAAAAATCGGTTTTGATTTCTTACTTTTGCTCAAGAACTTTATCAGTGACAATCAATTGAGATTGTTTCTTTTGAACTTGAACAAATCTGCTAACCTGACATTTTGAGATATAGTTTTCTACTCGTGCAAGTTAGCCCTGCTGGGCACTCAGGCAGGCTTGGAGCAGCGTGCTACTTCAAATGATCTAAATTTTGTTAGTGGCATATGACATTAAATTTACAGTCATTCATCACCAGCCTTTGCCCCTCAATGCCACAGGCCACCAATAAGAGCTCTCCATCTACTACTGTCCTGGGCTAGTCTCCACCTCAGTATCCCATCTTTAGGTCTTAATGTAAGTCCTCCCTCCTTAGTACTTTTAGGCCTTCCTTTTTTTCTCTTTCCTTTTATATTTCACCTTAATTAAGGCTTGGTGGGTAATACTTGTTTTTCGATTTCTCAAGGTGTGTCCAATCCATTAAAATTTTCTTTCTGATTTTTATAATATGTTTTCTGTTAATTTGTTTGCTACCATAAATTGTCCATTTCATATTATGATGTTTGGCCAGTTAATTTTTATTATTTTTCTTAGCAACTGTTGATAATAAATGCTTGTAGTGGTTTTTAGAAGCTTTTACTTTAATTAAAGTCTATCAAATCAGTAGCGTCCCCCCCCCCCCCCCCCCCCCAGCTGGAAACGGCTTTGAGGGAGGAAGGAACTAGAGTAATGAAGGAACCAGACTGAGTGATAGTGGATAGTGATGTCCCTTGTCTATGGACACAAGAACTGACATGAAGAGGAGCCATCATGAATGGGATGGACCTTTCAAATTCCTCCTGT